ATATTGTTAACAGAAATGGGTATATTAACAACAGCACCTTTGAGCAAACTCTGACCTTGATATCCTAACGGACGGGTTGTCATAAAAGGCAATCTAGGCATTATGAGACGTTCTTCAATTGGGGTTAAGCCTTTCAAACAATCCGGTATTTCAGGAAAGTCTAGACCGTTAGCTAAACATATTTTTGGAACGTTCTTTTTAACAATTGCATTTTTGCAAGTAGAACAAAAATTGTAATTTCCATCTTCTGAAGGAAATTTTTGCATTAAAAAGAAGGCGGATGCAGCATTCGGGTGACCTTGCGCAATAATTTCGAAATTTAATTTGCGAAGTTGGTGTGAAAACCATAAGCCGCCGCAGCAAATACATATTTCAGTAGGGCCCTTGTTTATATTTTGGAAATAAATGTTTTTGAAATCTGTTAAATTGCCACTATTATCAGTTTCTATAACATTATTTTCTCTCGTTAATCGGATTCGTTGGGACTGAATTTGGTTTTCAATTTGAGTATTGAGTGGGTTATCTCTACGAAGGCGAACTTGAGCTTGTCTAAGACGTCTCTGATTCAAAATTTCTTCCCTCATACCCGTCCTACTAAGCTGTCGACGTTGTGTTTCTCTATCATGTTCCCTTTGCATTTGATCACGAATGCGCTCTAAATTCCTATACTCAGGATTTCTTGCGCGAAGTTCTCTATGATCCCTAGTGTTCCTACTTTGTTCATCATAACGTACCTGAGGATTTTCTCGGCGAGATCTATGACCTCCAGTATTTCTTATTTGCTCTTCAGAGCGAATTTGTGGATCTTGCCGCCTTGTTCTATGTTGAACAGTATTTGCAACTTGCTCAACAGATCGAACTTCGGGGTCTTCACGCCGAGACCTATTACCTCGAGTATCTCTTATTTGCTCTTCAGAGCGAATTTGCGGATCTTGCCGCCTTGTTCTATGTTGAACAGTATTTAAATTTTGCTCAAAAGACCGTACCTCGAGATTTTCCCTCCTGGTTCTATGTTGATTTGTATTGATAATTTGTTCGGACAGACGTACATCGGAATCTAATCTACAATTACCGTGACTTACAGTATTTTGTGACTGCTCACTATCTTTATATAAAGAGTTTGCACGAAGAACTCTCATACGTCTTCTATTCTGAAGACGACTTAGTAATATAGATTTTCTACTTAATCTAGGCATAATAAATTAATAATAAATGGATTAATATATAAAATACTTATATAATTCAGTCCGTCCGTTGTAAACCGATTTCGCCCATTTTCGCACCATAACATAGAAATATAAAAAGAATGTTATGCACCAAATTAGGTTGAAATCGGTTAAAAACATCCCAAGATATGGGTTTTCACCTAAAAGTGGGCGGTGTCACGCCCACTGTCTAATTTTGAACGCGCTTCCATAAAGTCATCTCATACCATCCCTGAGATAAAATTTAATGTCTCTGGCGTGTTTAGTGCTTGCTTTATCCCGCTTTTAGTAGTTTTTAACAGTACCGTTACATGGGGAGTGGGCGGGGTTGTCACCCGATTTCACCCATTTAGCTTTAGTAGTTTAGGAGATATGCACATTAAACCTATTAGAGGCGGGAGCACGCCCACTTAAAAAAACAAAATTTTACTGCAGATGCCCCTCCCTAATGTGATCTCGTGTACCAAATAACAGTCTTGTATCTTATTGCGGAGCTTAGTTATGATAATTTATTTGTTTTTGATTAATGGCGTCTTGTGGGCGTGGCAGTGGTCCGATTACGCCCATCTGCAATACCAACCGTCTTACTGTACCAGGAAACATGAGTACCAAGTTTCATAAAGATATCTCAATTTATACTCAAGTTACAGCTTGCACGGACGGACAGACGGACGGACGGACAGACAGTCACCCGGATTTCAACTCGTCTCTTAATCCTGATCATTTATAGTATATACATAACCCTATATCTAACTCGATTAGTTTTAGGTGATACAAACAACCGTTAGGTGAACAAAACTATTATACTCTGTAGCATCATGTTGCGAGAGTATAAAAAGTTTAAAAATTACAATATTAGGTACGAGGAACAACTGAATAATAAAAATTAATAAATTTAGCATACTGCACTAATTTTTCATCCAAACCCAGTTTTTAATCTTCAAATTGGATAGAAAAATTCTATTTTCACTGAAAAAATAGGGTGTATAAAAACGAATTTAGCTGATATGCTACATATGTATGCACCACGTTAGAATGTGTGTTTATAATTCTATATGAATTTTTGAGTTTTTATTATCGCATGCGTATTACATGTAAATGCATCTTATTTCATATGTTTGTTTTTGTAAGTATGGACTTTTTGTACTGAGAAGGCTATATGTGTTCTTATAATAGTTGAGATTACATATTTTTACTAAATTTTAACTTATAAATATAACCTATGCTGCGGTGCAACACTAAATGATGCCTCTTGGCAAAAACGGACATGTTTATATTTGAAATATATTCCAGACTGATTCAATACCTTTAAACTCATATGGCTTAAATGCGCACCTGGGGAGGAACACCGAGGTGCTAGGCAGCACTTCTCACATTGGTTGGGAGATGCCGAGAATGCCTTGCGACCTAAGCCCCTGCACCATGGCAAGGTGCTTGCCATTCGCAGGAGGTGTTCTTATAATAGTTGAGATTACATATTTTTACTAAATTTAAACTTATAAATATAACCTATGCTGAGGCGCAACACTAAATGGTGCCTCTTGGCAAAAACGGACATGTTCATATTTGAAAAATATTCCAGACTGATTCACTACCTTTATATATTTTTTAATTACTCGCTTCGAACCATGGTATAAGGCCCTTTACAATGATTCGGACATTCCATTTGAAAGATATCATGAATTTAAAAATGTAAGTATTAGAAAACAAGGATACCGATGATCCCAACTGATCTTCCAATCCAATTAAACGGCTTCAATTTCGCGTTAATTTTTAACAAGTCCCAACGCCAAATCTTCGAATTAGTAGGGATCGACCTACTAAAAGAATGTTTTACTCATGACTAACTGTATGTTGGCATATCGCGGGTCGGAACTCCTGAATGAAATTTATTTTGATGGCACAGAATAAAACAACACTAATATCGTTTACAGGGAATCTTCGACTCTACAAATTTAATGGCGTATGTTTTGTACGAACTTTTTACGAACATTAAAACAAAAATATATAAACTAATCAAATATTAGGTATAAACTATTAAATATAATATGTTTACAGGAAACAAAGTTAACTTCGGTTGACTAATACCCTTCACAAATACAAAATATTCTTTACTGGAATTCAATTTTGATCGTTCAGTTTGTATGGCAGCTATATACTATAGTGAACCGATCGGAACAATTTCATTGGAGATTGCACCGTTACCTAAAGCAATAATACATGCCAATTAAAAAAAATTCTTTAGAAGCACTTGATTGCGATTGTTTAGTTTGTATTGCAGCTATATACTGAACAATTTCTCCAGAGATTGCCCCGTTGGCTTGAGCAATAATACATACCACATTTTGTGAAGATATCTTGTCAGATGGAACAGTTTTCCATACTAGCACTCTATGGCAGCTATATGCTATAGTGATCCGATATCGGTGGTTCCCAGAAATGAGCAGCTTCTTGAAGAGAAAAGGACGTGTGCAAATTTTCTGATCCATATCTCAAAAAGCGAGGGACTAGTTTGCGTATATACATTCAGACAGACATACGGACAGACAGACGAACATGGCTAAATCGACTCAGTTCATCATGCTGATCATTTATATATATATTTAATCAGGACTACGACGTTTCGTTCTCAGTGTTACAAACTTCGTAGCTAACCTAATACAAACTGTTCCGGACCATCAAACCGCATAGAGTTAATAATATTTAGCGATCTTTTCTAAAAGCTGATTCACATAATATTGTAGAAATTATTTCATTAGTATTATTGGCCTCCTAAGTTATTGTCTCGGATTTTTACAAGCTCGCTTTATGAACAAGAAATTGAATTTATAAAATCGTTTCACTTTTCGTCTCATACATTTGTCTGTACAGCACTTAAAGTGAACGCTACGCTGTTGCCGTTGTGAAAGTAAGGTAATTAGAAATTGGTTAATGTATTCAAATTGGCTTACTATTTATTTATGGTTCTACAAATTATAATCAAAATTTTCCAATAACTTGAAATATGTTTGTCGGACTTACTTTTAAGATATTATGCATTAAGAAAATGTCTATTGCATTCTAATGCATAATATCTTAGAAGAATGTCCGACAAACATTTTTCAAGTTATTATAATTTGCAAGGCGATCTGGAACGCTCATGAAAACTTCGTATGCGTTTTTCTCAAAATTAGGTTTTCTGAAGGGGTTAGCACTGTAGCTAAAAACCACTCGGTAGATTTCAATGAAATTTATACAGCTTTTTAAAAATATAAAAAACTAGTGCTTGATCGAAGAACTTATTGGTTTTTCTCCCTAAAATCTGGAAAAGTTTTCCGGAGGCCGCCAATTGAGCATTAAAAAAGAAAAAATCGTCTAAACTACGAGTTAAATTGATGGTCTCCGCAAGAAGTTTCGGTTGGAACACAAACAGGCATTACTTTTACAAAATTTTTTTTTTTCAAATTTCTTGAGATTTTGATAAAGCTCAAAATATAGCAAACTTCTGTATTTGAAAATTCAATAGTTCTATTCAAACAACCAATTAGAAACACGTTCTCTAGTTGATATAAAAGGATGTTTTTGCTGAATTATAAATGTACACCAATAAAATTTTAACTTTAAAGTATTATATAGGTATGTATATATCCTAAGGAGATATCGGCATTTCATGACACAATTGTGCTAGCTTACTTCATACACGATTGATGAGAGAGTAATGTGAAATTGAGTGCGCTCATGTTAGCAAAAAAAGAAATCCATGTTATATTACTTACTTAAAATATATTGCTTATTAAAATAATATATCACAATAGATTATTTCATTCTCATAAATTGCATAGGTATATTTTTTGAACTTTAAAAATAATAATTTCAGTTTTAATGAGCAAAGCATGATAAGATTGCTTTATCAGAACTGAATAGAGATACATGATACAAATTCATGATCCTATTGAAAACATGTCTCTGTAAGATACCAATAACATAATATTGTAATATTGTAATTATTTCATTTATTTATTTGAATTTTATTTTTAAAAAAGTAATATCTTCTATAGAAATACTTTTTTGCAATATTTTTTTTATTTTACATATTTACTTTATACTACAATTTTTATCTGTTCAACAAATCAAACGCCTAGGTCTTTTCAAAATAGAAGCATTATAAAATTATTAATTTGTAATACATGCAACTTTCAAAAATAATTTCCAGTTCGAAGAGTTTCATCATTGTTAATTTTCACTTTATATTAAAATTACTTCAAACCTAGAATGTATACTCGTATGCAGTATTTAAATCAGTTAATTATTGATTGGAGATATGGTTGTAGCAAAGTTTCCGAATGTTGAAAGTTGATTAATTCAGCTGCTTCAGTATCACTTTCATCGCCACAATCGGAATAGTTCAGCGTACTTTCCCTGGAGCAAGTATCAGTGCACAAAAGTGGTGTGTTGGATACATTATCAACTGGTTCAGCCCGACAAGCAGTGTCATTGTTTCGATCAAATTGTAACCCATGTGGGGCTTCAGAAGATAAATTACCGCCACCAGTTACAATTCCGTCCTCCTTAACTTGCTCAGCACTAAAATGTAACTGTAACTGGTATCGAATACTAGCCTTTTCAATGGCGCGTTTGCGCTGAAAATCATCTTCAACACTGTAAGGGAAAAAATATATTTGGTTACGAGACGATTTGAGTCTACTGCCACTTAGGTTTTATCTACGTAACAATAGTTGTAAATGAATAAATTTTAGAAACAATTAAGAATTGAGTTTGATAACCTATTCTATAGATTTTGAAAAGCTACATATAGCTTATTTATCTTCTTCCTACACCCTTCTAGTCAAAATAAATAAATTATTTTTTTCCAATAGATGGTTTTAGTAATCTTTGGCATTTGTACCAAAAAAGCTTCAAAAACCATAAGAGAAAAAATACGCCACTTTTCACAGTTTTCTTTCGAGAAAGGCGAAAACGCAATCCAAGCGGCTAAAAATGTGACAAGTCACGCCTAATGTGAGTACTCACTTACTTATAGCGTTTTATTTTCTCAGAAATATGTTGCATTTATTCTGATCTATGCCCGGGCTGTCTAAGTTTCGTGTTCTTTTCTCAGAACGCCTTCTAGCAGAGATAAGGAGATGCCCAACTCGTCTCTCACTGGAAAGGAGAGCGCAATTGATAAACGTCAAAACCTACTGAACTCAAGCAACTGTCAAAGTTCAGTAGGTCTGACGTTTAGCAATTGAAAAAAGAGGGACGGCCAGATTAAAATCTTACAGAAAAATATGTAGACAGAGAGCTGTTGAAGATCACTAACAAAAATTAGAAAACAATGAAAATGAAAGAAAACGCGAAATTGAAATGTATGTGATGATATCTTTTGTGATGTCATGCTAAGTGGTATTGATTTTCAATTGAAAATTTTTAAAAACATTTATTAATTGAGAGCTAATACATTTATTCTTTTGATTACGTATTGAAAGTTCAAAAATCAATTGTTTAATATATCACAAAATCACAAAAAGAGAGTATAAAAAGTTTCTGCATATGTTTAACGGATACATGTATAATAATATTTAATCTTAATAAATGATGGGTATTTTAATTTAAATTCCAATCTGGCTACAATGGAAAATGTTATAAAAAACGCTAAGAGCGCCCCAACTCTCACACTGGAAAGAGTTGGGCATCCCATTATCCCTGCCTTCTAGTCTGAAAAAAAGTGCAACACATCCGCGCTTCTCAAAACGTTAGAGTGAGAGTTGCAAAGGCGTTGGTCAGGTTTTGTTTTTGATAGTTATTTTTTTAAATCAAGTTTTTCTGCCAACTTTCTAATAACAAAATATAAATAAATAAATGCTTTTAACAAACGAAAATCGCCAAACTCATAAAAACCGGTCTAACCTTAGCGACTGCTACAGAAAAAGTAAACATGAATACAGCTGAAATTTTATCGTACTTCAGAAGCATGTATCAACATAATAAAAAAATTTTGTCAATTGTTGAAGAGTACAATTGAACCATACGATTTTAAAATTCCTATTATTTTTTGAACACTCCTCATATTTTATGTGTTATGTTTAAAAGCTTTTTAGATTTTTCTCAATATTTTTTTAGTATGTCCTCTTGCAATCATATTAAAATGCCATAATTTGGTGAAAGTATTTGAATATTCATAGTTCTTATAAAAAATTTAGATCGCTTTAGCACAAACGGCTTGACATATGACATATTCTTGCAAAATTTATGTTTGTAATAGTTACCGCTTCATCGCTTCCAATTCCCTTTTCCGCTTCGCTTCCCTCAGTTTAGCATCTTTTGCAAGTCGTTCAGCCAAACGTCTTTTTTCTAGCAAACGTATAGTACTTTGAAACGTAAATTGTTGTGGCTTTTCGATATCAGACGCATCTTTTACAGGTACATGTGAAGTTATTAAAGAATAATTATCCGGGTTCTACAATAATTTTTTTAAAAAATAACACAAGATAAAAATTATTTCAAGTGAACATGAATGTCTTTTATTTTCATCAAACGACATTACCGACATTAATAAGGGGGCGCCGAATTGCCACACTCAAAAATTTTGATATACCACTCACCATTATTTCATCTTGCAAACTTTGGCGTACTATTTTTTGGTGACGTTGCTGTTGTTTGTACTGGTACTGTTCACTTTTCCGCATAGTAGTTCTACATGTCACTTCATTATGTGTGGTTATGGCATTTGGTTCTTTGCTAGGTAGATACATTACATGTTTTCCAGTTGTCAAATATGATAAAGATATGGGCTCCACAGAAGCCGTAGTATTCCATTTTCTATACCGCCCATCAGCTGAAAATCGACAAGTATTTAAAGCTTCACCCTCGCCACTTTTCACTTTATGCAGGACCCAGTTGTCACTAAGGTTACTCAAAGGCTCAGAACCACTAATAACAAACCCGTTTCCGGAATGTATCGAACAATGGTTTTCATACGGTAGAGGCAGACATTGCTTAATTCTCATTCCAGGGTGTAAACAACAACACTTGGAGCTGAACGAAATCGGTTTATAGAGCGAACCTGCAGTACTATCTGCACTACGTGACGGCTCTTTTGGTAGAGTAGATGAAGTGTTGATCGACTGTAAAAGCTTACGTTGGGCTTGCGTGTATATATCACGCGGAAGTGATAGACTAAAAATATGCATATCCGTTGCACTTATTGCTTTTTCAAAAACTTCTTCAAGACGACTAACTTCCGACGCTCTCAGCTTACCTACCTCAATAGTATTTTCATTCACCTTGCCACAACTAGTGGAGTTTCCTTGCTGATCGATATGATTTGGTTCTCCACTTTCGGAAAATTGTTTTTTAGTGGAATCAACTTCACCTTCACCGTAGTAATCATCCTCATCATCGCCCAAATCTTGTTGTGGTGTCCAAGTATTAAGACACGATGAAGGTGTTGTCTTATTTAAATTAGATGTTAATTTTATTGGCGATTCTGTTGATATCTTAATAGCTCCACGAACGCATTGAAAACCATTTTCTTTTCCAGTAAGGGAAGGTAACAAGGTAGGCTTTTCGGAAACTTGGTTATTGTTAGTTTTATTCTCACAGTTTTTTTGTTTTCTACTTTTTTCTCCACAGGTTTGCTTAAACTTTTGTAGTTTATAATGATGTTGTTGATCTACTAACATACGCCATGCGGCCACGGGGCTAAAGCTTGGGGTGTTAAGTTGTCTACGCGGTAAAGTTGGACGAACTTGAATCAATAGACCATTATCTATAATAGGTTTGACGTCGCTGGATGCATGTATCTTATAGTCACTGACATAGTTGCCAGCAGTGGCTTTAACGACTGCTGTAGTAGAAGTTTCTATATATTCGGAATTTTCATGCATTGGTACATTTTTCGCATCTATTAAATCATCTGTTTGGCGAGTAGTTTCTATTACTGGCGCCGTTGACAATGCCTGTATAGATCCTAAAGACATGCCGAAATAAAAAGTTCGATTCAATTGTGGAATTTTGGAGGCGGAATACTTTTGCTGCCCATTTATAAGTTTGCTATCTTCGGTCTTCAATTGGCATGATGAGGAGGATTTTAATTTAATGTTTGCTGTTATTATGTTTATGTCATCTCGTGTGTTCTTTTCTCGTAGTAAAATAGCGTCTGAACTCTTTTCCCTTCGCAAATAGTTGAAAACTTGGTTCTTTGTATCTTTTGTAGGTGCAATTGATAGCGAGGTAAAGTCTGATTCTACATCCATGAGTTGATTTTGAGTTTGCTGTTGCGGCTCATGTAAATTCTTTCCAGCTAGCTCAGATGGAGATATTTTCACATTTGAGCGAAAAAGTCGAGTTTTTGTCGGATGATCCCCCAATAACGTTTTGTTTTCTAAAAGACTATCGGAGCCCGCCGATACTTTACTTACTTTTGTATTAGAATTCTTGGTTATGATCGGAGTCAAGTATTTATTATCGGTACTTGGCGAACTTGTTGCAGCTGTTACGCTTATGGGAACCGACATAGCCGTAAAGGAAGGTGCAGAAGGAGCTTTCCTTTTCTTATTGTACTTATAGTACTTACTAGTAACTTGATCATTGTTTTCTACTTGTCTTTGATATGTTGTTATATATTTTAATTCTTTTTCAGCTGCCTTGGCCTTGGTAGAAGCGAAACCCAATCTCCTACAAAGACTTTTACTAACCTGATTTTGATTGCTTTCAACATCAAACTCAAGGTTCGTCTGTGAACGTCTGAAAGAAGGCAATGATTGTCGACTATTCTGAAGGTCACGACTTTGCTCAGAATTTTGTTGATTGTACTTCCAACTGGGTTTCTTTGAGTCGTCATATATAAATGTCCGTGAACGCTGTTTTAAACCAGGTTGCTGTGACATTTGGGACGTGGCTCCCGTTGTGATTCTTGTGGGGAGCTGTTGGCGTTTCCCACTGATCGTACCACCTGAAGAGAGTATAACCCCATTTGTTGTTGGGCGGAGTTTGAGACGTTCATTCACGTGTGGCAGTACTTTACAGTTCGGCAGCTTAGTCGTTGACACTGATTCCGCAATATCACGTTCCACTGCATCTACTCTGCCATTATTTATCACATGCGGCAGTGAACGTGTCCCATGCATTGCAATGCTGTTAGAATTAAAATTATTACATCGCGGGTTATGAGACTGCTGACGCTGACGTTGTTGCTTATAATACGAATGTATTTCGCTATTAACATCCTCTAAGTTAAGATGATGTGTGCTGCCGACATTACCCATTACTTTATTACCTAGGAATTAGTAAAGTTCTTCTGGAAGATGTTAGGTTTATCTTTTGATTTAGAAACTTGTAAGCGAAGTTGAAAATATTTTGTGACATCTGAAAAATTAACAATTACAACTGAGGCGACAAAAAGTAAGTGTCATTGGAAAAAGTTTTTGCTCATTTCTTTCATTTAATTTACCTTATACTAAAATTATTAGTGCACTTTGGATATTACAGCTATATATTTATTATATTATGTGTAGTAAAAAGAAACCCATTATTTTTCCATGAAACTGAATGCTTTAATTATTACTTTTCGTATACAGCCTTATTCACATGGCTCCAAACGATTTTTTGTGCAATGTTTAGGTCCTGGATAATCGTAATCGATGTTTGGACTCGGCGATTTCCATTATTTCACCGATTTTTTCGATAATTGGTCTTCCAGAGCGTGGTGCATCTTTGCCATCGAAATTTCCGGAACGGAATCGACGAAGCCAAAATTGCGCATGATTGGCTGTTACAGTATCAGGACCATAAACGCCCTTATCGAAGAAAAACTCTAAAATATAGCTATTTTTTCTTTACTAGTGTCCATCTTTGATGCGCGCTCAAACAAAACTGAATCGACCAATAATAAAACTGTCAGAAAAGATTTTTTAGTGCAAAATGTCATCCTTCTAACGCCAACCCGATCGCACTTATACAACGCGAGATACAGATAAATAACGCCATCTACTGGAAAAATCATGGATTTCTTTTTACTACATCTAATATAATATATATTGTATATATATAATATTTATTTTGATAATTAATGCATGTACTTGTATAATTGTACTTTTGCGCTTTTGTGGTAGTGCGCAGTTTCGTATTGTTTTCACTAATATGTAAAATATAAAATTATTCAAGCCTTAGGCAAAGTTGTTTAGAATGAACCGTGGAATATTTCCTGCAAACGCGATTTTTCCGTTTTTTTGGCTACTTATAAATCAACCCGCTCTAATGCATATGAATTCTTAATGACCGCTCCTAGCATACCATTGCACTGTTCTGTTATCTTCAATAACTAAGCGTTGTTTTAAATGAATTTTCAAGAGTTTAGGTTTACTTTTATTACTATTTACCAATTATTCGCATAACTCGACTGCTTTAAGACGATCGTATTATTTGTTCCATTGCAGCTATGTCATGACAATAACTTTCTCTTTTCATTGTTGTTATAGTTGTACAGAAACACTCGATAAGAAAAATAAGTATGCATACATATGAACATGGCGAAGAAATGTTCATGATAAATACCTTAAATTAGTGCAAACTTTGATCGTACTATCTATTATATTTAAATCAGTATATATATTATATTATTATACACAAAAAATTAAAAAATATTATTCTTATTTGTTGGTATTTTTTGTTGTTAAGATTGTCCGATACTAAACGATTTTAACTGAACTAATTTTTCTCCCGTACATCAATATTAAAAAATATTACAATCTTTATCAGTTTTGTTATCATTTTTCTTCATAATCCATCCTTTAAAAATTTCCAATGGATATTTCAAAATCTTGCATGACCCACCTGTATTTCGATATCACAAACAGACTTTTAATTACACGCCTGCGCAGCACACTGGTGCATATTTGTGGGCGGGCGATCTTAAAAATATGAGAAAGTTATTGACACTACCTTGAAACACTTGACCCCAGGGGTTACTTACTATTTCTTATGCTTAACGGCTACAAGATTCACTTGGTTTTGCAGACACATTTTAGCGTCTGACTTATTTAGGCCTTTTTTCATTAAAAGTTTGTATGCATACATTCACCCAATAAACATTTTGGTATGGTCGCAATTTGAGAAGTAACTACGGACCATATGCTTAAAGCTTCAAATTTAATTTAAATTCTTAATTAGGGCTGAGAATTCTCAATTCTAATTTTAACATTAGCAAACAGGAATAAAATTCATTTCTTACATTATTTATTTGTGAACCACTAACAAACTGAAATCGTGTTGAGAATTACGCACTTAAAAAGCGTTAGAGGTAGTAATATGTTTTCAGGTCTCCTCGATCTGATGTTTAGTTGTAAAATAGTTCGGAATATATAGTTTTCAATGACAAGTAAAAGTCAACAAATTTTCAAAGATTTAAGGTTTTCAAAGTGTTTATTGGGTTTACACACGTATATATGAATATGTTTACCTTGCTTACAACCAACAAAGCATGTGAACGAAAACCTGTTGACCGAAAAACAAAATTTTACATACTGACTAGTGTTTGTTAAGCTGTGTACCCATTGGTGAAAAATTCTAACACATAATCTTTGTGCCAAACAGTATCATTTGTCCCTGTGTTGAATTGGGGTGAAAAAATTTCCTATGGTGTAAACAAGTTTAACATTTTGCTGTGCCAAATGGAAAGTAAACTTTTGACCGTTGAACTTTAAAACAATCGCAATTGCGTTGTTTGAATGTTTACCTTGTTATTTAAATTATTAAATATATTCGTAAAATAAATTAAATGCAAAGCAAGTATTTTGCTTGCTTATAACAAGATTAAAGAAACTAGAAAAAAATTCATTAATATGAAGATTTATTATTACAATAATTGAGAGTTTTAGGCAACCTACTAGACTACTACGACGCTACTTGCATTCGGTACACATATGTACATACATAATTATATCTTTATATGTATATACACAAATACATTTACATTAAGATCTTTTAATCAACTATAAAAATATTATTTATACTTATTTCTTTCATCTTAATTTTAGTTTGCAATATTTCGGCTAAATAATAAAACTTCAAAAGCAGTCAAGAATTTTCCTTATTCAGAGAGATTGGTGTCAGAAGAGCGATTGTCAAATAAATTCCTAAAGAGAGAATTAATTGAAAATGGCTCAGCTTAATGATCTGAAGATTTCACAACTGGAAAAGGTGCTGAGGCAACGTGGTTTGGCAACATAACCGTTTATTTGTCGAGAGGCAATGGAAGCCGAAAACTTTAATGTTGACGAATATATGTTTCGATTGAAACAATCGTCAAAAGTTATGAACATGGATATGATTGTTGCTGCAATATCGACGCACATGTCATCTCAAATAGTGGCGCAGTTGGATGCGCGATTATTAGCATTGTTCGAAGCGCATGGGAAGCGTTTGTCAGTAAGGTTCGAAACGATTTGGGCGTGTATGTCAGACAAGTTGGCAGCGCTCGAGAGCAGTCGGGAGTGCAGGTGGCGTGTATACCAGCCCAGATGACCTCACAGTCATAAGAGCAAAGCTTGTATGCACAAGTGTCTTCACAGTTGGAAGAACAGGAAACGTGTATATCAGTACAAGGGTCCTCACAGTCGGAAGAGAAAGATGCACGTATATCAGCACAGGTCTCCTCCTAATCGGAAGAGCAAGATAAAATTAAGGCTAGAATGGATGAGTCTTTGCAATTAGCTCCAGATTTTCAAGATGTAATGCATGAAGTGGAGTTGATCAAATGTACAATGAGGAAAGAAATAGCTTCATAAAGCTCAGTCGGAAAAGCATATTTGGCAGAGTGGAGTATGAAAAAGCGAAGATGGGCAAAGCTCCCAAGCACTTATGGTTCTTCCGAAGGTTAGAATTCCTAAAGTTCTCAACGAGCTGCACAACGGTCCCAGTGGAGGACACTTGAAAATCACGACGACCTTGGAGAAGTTAAAGCAAAGGTTTTATTGAATTGGTTATCGTTAGTTATGGTCAATTGTGCTGAGTGCATTGTAGCTAAAGCCATTTCAGCGAAATAGCGTGGATGTAGATGGTCCATTTCCCAACAAAAAATTATTAAACATACATATTTTGGTAGGCAAAGAACATTTTAGAGAATTGCCAGAAGTATACCCAATTTATAATCAAGAGGCTGAACCTATCGCTAGTGGTAACAAGATTCGGTGTTTTAATAGAATTACATTTTGACCGATAAAAGAATTTCGAATTAGTTGTAATTCAGGTAATGTGCCTGAAACTGGGTATCCGGAATCCAGATGGAATTAACGCCAATAAAAATTAAGGTGGCTAAGGAAGTCAACAGAACCCTAGAAGACGAGATGAGAGCCATAAATGATATACGATACCATGCCAATAGAAATGTTCGTCTTTTGAAGCAAACCAATCAGGCACCCAATTTTCGACCTCTGCGTAGGAATCGAAGTGCTACTCTGCCAATGTGTGTCCCATCGATGAAAACAAATGGTAATCCGAAGGTGCCAAGTCTAGTGAATTCGGCGGGTGGGGTATCAGCTCCCAGCCATGTACTTTGATTGTATCCTGAACCGATTAAACTTTGTGCGCAGGTGCATTGTTGTGTAAAAAATTACTATACCGTGTCTTCTGACCCAATCTGGTCGTTTTTCCATCAATGCATGGTTCAAATTGATCATTTATTGTCTGTAGCGATTAGTATTAACAGTTTCACCAGGTTTTAGAAACCCATTGTACACCCTTCTGATCCCACCAAACACAGAGCATTGGCTTCTTACCGAATCGATCTGTTTTTGCAGTCGATCTTGATGGTTGTCCCGGATTAATCCATGATTTTTTCCGTTTGGGATTCTTAAAATAAATTCAGTTTTCATCGCCATTTGACTCGATTTTTGGTGGTCTTCTTTCTCACATCAAAAACATTATCTCTAAACCGTTGAAACCATCTTTTGCATGTTACTTCTGATAGTTTGCAGTTTGTTTGCAAATCATCACTTACCGGTGCAAAATTTTACTTTTTCATCACAATGAAAAAAAGATGATGACTGTAAGGTTATTTAATATGTTTGACAGATGTCATTCCAAAAAACAACACCACTCTAAAAAGGAACAAAGCAAATTTTCACCACTTTATATAGGAGCATATATGTGTGGCAATCACAAATGCAACTCTGCAAGAGTTATTTATAAAGCAGATATGGCAACGTTCAACCTAGACTATCTGTCATGCTGAGGTATCTCCATCTTTCTTTTTCATCACGCATCGTCCAGCTGTAAGCACGTCATCACTATTTTTGTATGTAATCACATTATATAATTTTTTGGAAAGTAAATAAATCGAACATTATTACATCCCACATATTGGTGACCCCGACGCAAGCAAAAATGGCCGAAGACGACGCGCTAAATCAGTTGGCAGAAAACTTGCAGCCTTGCAGCGTGGAAGTTGCTAAAGTGTCCATCAAAATTCCACCATTCTGCCACGCAAAGCCAGAAGTTTGGATCGCGCAAGTGGAGTCACAATTTATTGCCGCAGGGATAACGAGCGATAAGACCAAGTATCACACTGTCGTGGCCGCAATAGAAAGTAACGTGCTAGCACAAATAAGCGACATTATTCTCAATCCACCGAACAGCGGCATGTACCCAACACTAAAAAATCGTATAATTACGCAATTCACTGACTCCGAGCAAAAACGTGTAAAGAAGCTATTATAAGAACAAGAGCTTGGTGACATGCGCCCATCACAACTCTTGCCCGAGATGCGTAGTTTAGCAGGCAGCGAAATAAACGACAACATACTCAAGTCTATTTGGATGAGTCGGTTACCACCAACATGCGACTAATAATTTCCATCAGCAAGGATCCCCTGGACAAAGTAGCTCTGCTCGCAGATAAAACAAGTACACGCGGTTGAAGCCCAACTGGCTGAGATCACAAAAGAAATCGCCTCGATAAAAGCAAACATAAATCGTCGATCTAGAAATCGACGCAGGAACCGTGCTCCGTCACGCTCCGGTACGCAAAATCACAGCTTAAGCGATTTGTGCTGGTACCACCTAAAATTTGGTAACGAAGCCAAAAAATGTCGCAGTCCCTGCACAAGAAAGTTAAACTAATTGGTCTGTCCGCTGCTTAATAGTTCGAGATAAGGTATCTGCAATGAAATTTCTCACGGAAGCCGAAGTCAGCGTAATTCCACCGACGCAACAACAACGTAGACATCCTGATAAAAGTAACTACCTCTACGCAGCAAACAGGTACACCATAAAAACTTACGGTGAAAAAGTCATGCATGCTAATTTGACTTTGGTCTACGGCTCCAATTTTCCGGGAATTTCATAGTTGCCGACGTAGCCATCATCGGAGCGGATTTTTTATCGCATTTTAACTTATCGGTCAACCTACGACAACGAAAACTCATCGGCAACATCACAAGCGTTAGCAAACATTGTTCAGTGTCAGCTAATGAAGTAGTATTGAATTTATCATGCATTAACAAAAATCGGTAGAAAATTTCACGACCAATAATAAACCACAACACCTGGTTACACATCACATCGTCACCAGTTTTCTCCAAACCGAGACGCTTATCACCTGAGAAACTAAAAGCAGCTAAAGCCAAGATACAATTCATGCTAGATGCAGGCATTTGTCGTTCATCTCGCATCCCATTACACATGGCGAAAAAGAAAAACGGCAAGTGGAGGTCATGCGGGGACTTCAGGCGACTAAACGTCCTAACAAGTACCCCCTTCCACACTTGAACGACTTTCCGCACTCACTGCATGGTTGCAGAATTATTTCCTCACTCGATCTGCGCCGACCATAACACCAGATTCCTGTCGAACCCACCGATATACCAAAACCAGTAATCATCACACCATTTGGCATGTTTGAATTCCCTTTCATGTGCTTTGGTTTAAGAATACGATTTCGCCTGGCCATATCTCGATGACATTTCGATATCGTCGAAGGATATGAACCAACATCGTCAACATCTGCAATTAGTGTTCGGTTTGGTCATCAACCATTCGAAGTTTATATTAGGCCAGCCACAAGTTAATTTCTTAGGTTTCAAGATAAACAGCAGCGGAATCTCACCACCAAAAGAACGAGTGCATGCCATTAAAAATTTTAAACTACCTACTAGAGCATGTGGCTTGCGGCGTTTCCTCGGCATGGTAAACTTTTTCCGCAGATTTTTGCCTTGCGCCGACGAAAGGCAAATTGCGTTATTCAAACCAGTGAAAGATAACAAGAAAAACGACACATCAACAGTAGAATGGACGGACGAAGTAAAAGAGGCATTTCAGCAGTGTAAAAACAATTAATGTAAAGCAACTTTACTCGCCTATCCTAAACCCGGGGCTCAACTCAGTTTGACAGTGGATGCTTCCGGAACTGCTGTAGGTGCGGTATTACAACAACATGACAACGACCAGTGGCAACCACTAGGTTTTTATTCCGAAC